AATGCTGAGAACTGACAGTCCTAGTAAATACGTTAAAAGTACAGATGAATTAAATACTGAGAGGAAGGATTCAGAGGAAAGATACTAAATAAGTAGGGAGAATTCTATATAGAACTTTTATTCGTGTATAAAAAATAAGTAAAGTTAGCTCTTTGAGGAATACTTACTTTCTCACTTTAAATCTAGACCTAGTATAAAGTGCTTTGAACACTATAGCTGCTAATCAAAAATGAGGGGGGAAAAATATATGGCTAGAAGATAAAACAGAGAATCAGATCCTCACTGATTGAGCAAAAATACTTATACATGCACCATGCCAGTCATAACTATCTATAGGCGAGTGGCTTCTGAGATGAGGTTATATTACAATGAGCAACATTTGATTTCCTTAGGCTTCCATAATTAGGGTGGCCCATTCTGGCAGCTCAGTTAAGAAATCAGCCTTGTCGGGCCTATTGGTGCCTGTGGTTGAGGTGGAGCTCAGTGAGGTAGAAGGTAATTTAATAAGAAGTGACCTTTAATGTTGTTGGTAAATTAGTGTCCTTACTGAATAAGATGGAGAGAGTATCTTCTTTATTGTTAGGCAGGGGCCAGTGGAAGATATTTGTTAGGAAAATTGTCACATATACCATTAATCCCCAGAGCCTTAAGTCAAGAGTATCCAAGTTAGACCAAAGAATGTCTTAGCCCAGAAATTCCTAGCATTTTCCCCTTGTAAAAACCATTTTTTTAAATGGGCTATTTTTCTAATATTTTATTGATTCTGGTTTCTAAATTAAAGCTCTAAATATGTTCGGGAAAATAAATTCCAATGAATTTTCATTAACTTTCACTGGAAAACCTTGGCAATGATTAAAGATCTTTACATAGTGCAAATGTATTTCCTTTTCAAAAGAAATACTCTGAAACACATATTTTGCTTAAAATCAGGTTCCAAATTTTATAGTTTTTCATTTTTATGTTAGAAATGCAATTTCTTTAGAAAAATTGAGTAACATTTCTTAAAACTTCACTTAGGTAGGTGGTTAGTTTAAAAAGTGGCTTTCTCAGAAGTCTCCAGGGAGAAGCTTTTTTTTTCAGCTTATAAAATAATAAGAAATGTCCAAAAGTACTCAAGAAAAATCTGACATGCTATTAATAATCTCTTTTCTTTAATTGGATTGAAGCTTGATAAAGATGCTAAGACAAATTTTGGTATGATCATTTGATGGCTTGAAAAAAGAAAAAGAAAAAGTGCAGTAAGTCATCCCAGTCCTGACCACACCTGCTGGCTCTGCCACTCAGGTACCATGTTGGATTTGGCGTTGGTGAACAGAGTATGATGGTTAAAGTACAAAAGTCCCAAAGTCAAAGCCTGTGCTCCAAACTTGGTTCCTAGCTATGTATAAGCAAGTTACTCAACTCAACCTCTCTGCATCATAGATAGTCTTAATATCTGCCCCACAAGATTTTGTTGAAAGGATTAAATAAAGTTAAATTTTGTAATGCTCTTGGAACAGTGCCTGGAACAGAAAAAGTGCCAGATAACTGTCTTTAAGATAGAATAAAAATAGAACAAAAGTAAAGAGGAGAAATTGAAAAAGAAAGAAAGTGAGTGAAAGAGCTTGATTGTAGACATTGGCACACATTCCAACACAAAATGTTGGAAAGTATGCCCTCTGAGGAAGTGAGATAAAGGAAACAAAAGCAGCATGGGAACCACCAGGCCTTGTTATCTCTGTGTCCCAATTCTGGTTCCCTTCTTCTGCATGCCCTATCCAGAAATAATATCAGTGTGCTTTAAAATCATTTCTTGGGGTGCCTGGGTGGCTCAGTCGGCTAAGCGACCGACTCGGGCTCGGGTCATGATCTCACGGTTTGTGGGTTCCAGTCCCGCGTCGGGCTCTGTGCTGACAGCCAGCTCAGAGCCTGGAGCCTGCTTCAGATTCTGTGTCTTCCTCTCTCTCTGACCCTCCCCTACTCATGCTCTCTCTCTCTCTCTCTCTCTCTTTCTCAGAAATAAATTTAAAAAAACAATAAATAAATAAAATCATTTCTTGACTTATAAAGTGATATTTTTTAAGAGTCGTCTCTTTCTTGAGGAAAAAAATAAAATGTACAGCTGTTCCCCCTATCCTCAGGGGGATAAAACTTAGCATACACTTATCTTTTAGATTAAGTGGCCTAAACTCCCATAGATTATTTGGAATGGGTTTAGGCCCATACATCATGCATTATTTTCTAAGCATTTAATAACATGAATCACAGTGATAACTGTCAGCATTAGCCACAGTAAACTGAATGATAACCTCTAGAAAGACACCGAGGGACTTTCCTTTCTATTTCTGAATATTTATCAACCTTTGACATAGACTTAGTCATTTGTGATTTGGACTGTGCAAAAGTAAATAATGGAAAGGTAGGCTGTTTGTTGGCTTCCATCAAGATTTAGGGAAAGACAAACTATGAACAATCACAATCAGAGAGAAGTTAGATGCCTAACACACCTGAGAGAATAAACAACTTTCTTCTGATACATAATTTTCACCAAAACCCTTTTAAAAACAAGGCCTTACCAAGAAAAAAAGTCTGGCTTTCAGTTAGGCAACTTGTCTTACAGAATTATTTTTAGGAGTGCCTGGTTGGCTCAGTTGATAAAGCATCTGACTCTTGATTTGAGGTCAGGACATGATCTCACGGTTTGTGAGATCAAGCTGTGTCTGGCTCTGCGCTGGGAGCATGGAACCTGCTTGGGATTCTCTCTTTCTCTCTCTCTCTACCCCCACCCCCCACCACCATCCCTCCTCTACTTGGACTCTTTCCCTTGAAATAAATTAAAAACCCATTTTTTAAAAAAGAGTTATTTTAGAGCAGTTTTAGGTTGACATATATCTATATTTTGCATATGTCTCCCACCTGTGCATACATGCATTTGCATGTATGCATAGCCTATCACATTATCAGAAGCCTCCACATGATGGGCATATTTGTTAGAATTGATGACTCTATAATGATAGATTATAAATACTCAAAGTCTACAGTTAACCTTGGTTTCATTGTATATCCATTGCATATTCATGTGTTGTATATGCTATGAGTTTAGACAAGTAAATATATCATTATGATATCATACTGAGTATTTTCAGTGCCCTAAACATCCTCTGTGCTCTTCTTATTCATTTCTCCTTCCTGAAAGCCTGGCAACCACTGATCTCTCTACTATCTCCATAATTTTACCTTTTCCAGAATGTCATCTATTTGATAGCATATAGAGTGTGAAGCTTTTTTTCAGATTGGCTTCTTTCACTGAGTAATACACATTTAAAGTTCTCCCATGTCTTTTCATGGCTTGGTAGGTCATTTCTTTTTAGCACTGAATAATGTTCCATTGTCTGGATGTACCAGTTTATTTACCCAAACACCTACTGGAGGACATCTTAGTTGCTTTCAAGTTTTTGGCAATTATGAATAAAGTTACTGTAAACATTCATGCACAGGTTTTTGTGTGGACAAAAGTTTTCAACTCTTTTGGGTAAATACCAAGGAGTATGATTGAGTAATCATATGTTAAGAATATGTTTTATTTGTAAGAAAGAGCCACAGTGCCTTCCAAAGTGACTGTATCTTTTTGCATTCCCACCAACAATGAATGAAGGTTCCCATTGTTCCACATTCTCCACAACATTTGGTGTAATCAGTGTTCTGGAATTTGGCCATTCTGATATGTGGTGGTATCTCAATTAGACAACGTTTTAATCAATTTCACTTAAATATCTGAATAGTATATCTGTCAGAATGTTGTTCTTCTTTCCTTATTAAAGGTTTGTCATCTTTTAGCTCATTCAGTTAAAAACTGATTTGTAGATAGTAATGTCCTTCTTGGCATATGGTGGTAACTGTAGTCTATAAGGGGGAGTTGTCCACAAGGCAGACATGTTTCCTGGATGTTCTTGCTTCAAAGTCTGTTTGGGGTCCTTGGTGGAAAGCCAGGCCCCAGGAATCCCGAAGCTTCCAGTGAAGCTACTGGGATTTACCTGGCTTGATCTGATTCTTTAGGCGTCATGGAAAAGTTGTCTTGTTGTGCTCACCCAGCTGGTATAGTTGCTTCGAAATAAGACAAATTTCTCAAAAAATTGAAACCCAGCTCTATGCCCAAATAGGAAGTGGGGAACATAGCTTCTGTCTCCTACCAAGTTGTCATTTAATCAGTGAGATAACCTTTCCTTAACTAAACTATGTTGAAAATGCTTTCACTCATGTAAGAGAAAGACACAGGGCATTTTATATGTGCTCATCATTGTAATACTTTCATTTAAGTCAATAAAAATGGATTCACTTTCTTATGGTAAATAGAAAAAATATTTACCTAACCTAGGCTTAACAGTATACATTTGTTTTAATATTAATAAAAACAATATATGCATAGTAAGTGTTTACTTTGTACTAAGTGTTGTTATTCTGTATTTGATGTCTATAGTTCTTACTGTACACAAAATTATGAAGTAGATAATGAAGCTCTTAGGTATTCTAGCTTGCATGACCAGGCTCTCATTACCAGCAACCCCACAACAGTCACCTCCTTAATGTTTATCACCAAACATTATTTATCATAGGTGACTAAGTCTATAACTGAGACTGATAAATACTTATTATTATATCCTCTTTCTTTGTTATGATTTGGCCTCATTTCCTCCCTTCCTAGTTTATCCGTTCTCTGCCTCAAGTTCTTATAGCCCTGCCTACTAAATGGCTAGCTATCTAATTTGGTCAATTTATTTGATCAAAGACCATGTTAAAATGCAATCCAATAGGAGAAATATCAATATACTTTAAAGGTTCTCGGTGCATTTAAAGAGTGATGTGGGTTTAGTTGAGATAATGTTGATGTAGTTATAGCTGGAATGACTTCAATTAGTGGATCCTCTAAGAGACACCCTCAATTAATCCATGTATGTGGAATTACATTTGATTTATTTGGTCTGCAATTTTTCACTATTTAATTAGACAAAGAGAAATCTTACCTCAACAGCAACATCGCCAGCTTTTCCTCGGTGAGGAATTTCATACGCCTCCATCTGTTGCTTTGTGAGTCGTACTAACTTTTCAGCTAGTTCCCTCCAGCCTTTTCCAAGCTTGACAGCTGAAGTCAGAATAGCAGCCTCTTGGATGAGATGTGCTACTAACCCTTGGCAATCCATCTTCAGCAGAGCCTGCAGCAACAATTACATTTCATCGTTAAAATCAACTAATTTTGGCTTCCTCCTATAAGTTAATTTTTTTATTATATATTCTAGAAACTGGTATCCTCTCTCTCACCACATGTATTCTTGAGGTTTCTAAAATTCAAAAAGCTGATTTACTTTTAAGCAAATACAACCAGTGAAATATAGAGAATATGACTAGACCACAATTAGGGGAGATTTAAGCCCAACTCAATGACTAATTATAAGGCCTTGGGTAAACTACTCAACTAATATGTTTCTTTAATATCCTAATTGGAAAAGGAGAAAGTTAAACTAGACACTTTCAAAGATACCCTGAGATTCTAGCGGTCTATAATTTATCAACCAAGAGAAATGATTATTCACTCTACCAAAAATAATTCCTTTCCTTTCCAGAGAATTGGCTACAGGATTTCTCTAAAGAATAAGCACACCAGTGATGGTAAATAATACTCTATTTTACATGAAAATGTGATTTAAAACTTCCCAGAATAATGCCTCTTGCATAAAATGAGATACTCCTACAACTTTGAACAATGTTATTTATATTTATGACTTTAAAAAATTAACTCTCTGCCTTCAACCTCATTGTAATTGTGCTAATATAAACCACTTAGTATTAAAATATTCTTGCAAAAGGGAAAACTATTGGTCTTCCTTCCTTCCTTCCTTTTAATTAGGCATCTGAGCTGTGTCAATGACCATTCATATTTTAAACAAATCTATGAGTTTCCCTTTGGCTTGAATATGTTTTTGAAAATGGGATTATATCTGTGTCTTCTCTGTTCAAATAAGCAAATAAACATTGTAGTGCCTCATCATTTAACAGCACTTCAAAGCTTTATCTATCACTATGAAACAATAAGTAAAAATGAATGGTCAAGTAAGGCAACTAGTAAAGTCCATGGAGTGTTCATTCCTATGGAAGCATAAGAAAGAGAGCCCATGGTTTAATACATTGACTGTATTCATCCTTACATTTATGGTGAGGAATTACAACTTCAGGAAAAGGCAGTACTGAGCCAGAAGGCCCCTGAAGGTGCTTTTAGTAAACTGTGGAATGGTTTTAGCAATGCTTATTCCAGATTCTTGCTTTAAGAAAAGAAATTTACACTTGGGGTTACAAAATCTGAGTTTAAAATCCAATTCCACAAAGTGAAGGACTTTAGGTAAATAATAAAATACTTCTGTTTAGTGATTTTTAAAATGGATAGAGTGGTGATATCACCTTCTTAGCTGCCCATAATCTTTATGAAAACTGAATCAGATACTCGGGTACTTTAGGAATTGTCAACTGTCAAGTATGTAAAGACAACCAGTCTCATGTCTAAGATATGACTGAGGGTTTTAGAACTCACAATCTTTATTAGTTACCTTCCAGCTACTGCAAATTAATATACAATCCAAGAAAAACATGTACTTGTTATGCAAATAAGGTTTCAAGAGATGGCCTCTATACCTCATAGCCCCTTCCAAACAGAAATCCTGAGGGGCGCCTGGGTGGCTCAGTTGGTTAAGCGTCTGACTTCAGCTCAGGTCATGATCTCCTGGTTTTTGAGTTCGAGCCCCACATTGGGTTCTGTGGTGACTGCTCAGAGCCTGAAGCCTGCTTCGGATTCTGTGTCTCCCCCTCTCTCTTCCCCTCCCATGCTAGTGCTCTGCCTCTCTCTGTCTCTCAATAATAAATAAACATTAAAAAAAAAACAAATAGAAATCCTGAACTTCCACTCAGGTACAGCATGAGTTTTTAGGAACTATTCTTTTGAATGAGAAAGCACTTCATCAGTACTGTTTAGTTAGTCACCAAAGTCACTCAATTAATTAGCATACACCAATATAGTGCAGATATGATCAGGCTTAAACTTCCAGACCATTTGACCAAAATAACTTTTTTTTTTGCCACTAAGAGAAACAAAAAAAACAATTTTCATTTCAAGCTTTCACGGGTCCACGCTGAACATGAACTAATGCAGAGGTAATGAGAGGTAATGAGCCACTGCAAAATGCACATGCAGCTGGACCAGGTAGATCAGCCAATGACTAAATGGCTACACTGAGAATGTGGCACACCATCATAAAACTATCTACTTAACAACTGGCAATTAGGGCTTTTAAAATTTAACCTTCTCAGTATCACTGAGGAAAGAAAATGTTTTATATATACAATTTCTTTATTATATAAATTATTGTTAATGTCATAGAATATATTCTTCTCTAAAAATCTCTCTCCTCCACGTGCACCTTGATTAAAACTTTCTTCCTCTCCATGAACCTGCCTGTATAATCTTATTTATCTCTCCTAGGGCACCAGCCTTGCATGGTTATAATGGTATTTACTACACAGACCAATATACATATTCACAGAAACTTTTACACACGCACACACACACACACACACACACCTTTACAACTGTTTTAGGAAAGTATAGTGGTTTTAAGTGTGGCTTTGGAGCCAGAAAGGTCGCAAGTCCCATCTCTGATACTAACCAACTGTGGGGTCTTGGGCAAGTTTTCCAGTCTCCCTAGACTCAGTTTCCTCTGTTGGTAAGATGAAGATACCAGCTAGCTGTACTTACTCCATAGTTGTTATGGCTAAGTGAGATAGTGTGTATAGGGAGTTCAGCATAGGGCCAAACACATACAGAACTCTACAAGAGTGTTAGCTATCATTATTATCATTTATACATTCATATTGTAGCTGCTTTTATAAATATACTCCTGATTTTTCTTTTTTCTTTTATAAAATACTGGATTTCTATTTTAAAGGCAAAACAGTTCTTTATCTACTTTATATGTCTCCATTGAGCCTTACACTGAAGTAAATGCTATGTAGAAAAAAAAATGATCCCCAGAGTTCTGTTAAAACAGAAGGATTAAGAAGAGAATTAGCAATATCATTTTTTTGGATTCTGATAGATTGCATAAGAAAAAATGTTAAATTGATAATGTGAAGGACATTGATGATATGGGTCTTTTAAAATTCTGATGAGGGGCACCTGGGTGGCTTAGTCGGTTAAGCGTCTGACTTCGGCTCAGGTCATGATCTCACGGTTTGTGGGTTCGAGCCCCGTGTCAAGCTCTGTGCTGACAGCCTAGAGCCTGGAGCCTGCTTCGGATTCTGTGTCTCCCTCTCTCTCTGACCCTCTCCTGCTCACGCTGTCTCTCTCTCTGAAATAAACATTAAAAATTAAAGAAAAAATTCTGATGATATGTTTTAAAAGGAAAATGCTGAAAATTAAAAATAAAACTCTAAATAGTGGATGTATAGCAATGGACAAGTTAATCAATCTTGTTTCAGTATGTTTTTATTTACTTTCATGTTAATGAAGCTTCCCTGATATTTTAAGAGCTATTTAAGTATTTGAGAGAGGAGAAGAGATCTCTTAACTATTATACTCTAACACAAACAGAATCTTCAATCTTACTTTGAGAGATGATCCTCTGGAGCCTAGTTTCTGGGAAAATCACTCTTGAATTTTAAAACTTAGAAATAAATTATATTATCTTGTAAGAAAATGTATATATTTGCTATAAAGTGACTTCAGTTTATTTGAGACTGCTGATAATTTTGTTAAGTTCTCTCATATGCTTGGTTGTAAATATTGCTTAGTTAATAAATTTCTGTATGGTAAACACATTACTGTGATCGAGGAATACTCACCACAATAAGTTCATAAAGAAACTTCCTGGTATTTCTATCTGCATGGCAATCTTCCTTTAACTTCTTTACAATATAGGAAACTTTTTCTGATTCTTTGTCTGCTTGTATTTCAAAATCTTCTAGTGCCAGATGTGAGTAACCCAAGACATGGGCTAAAGCTTTCCAATCGTAAACTTTTTCTGACACCAAGGTCAATACAACTGAGTAGATGTAAGTCAGTTTTTTAAAGGGTAGGGTAATTTGTTCAAGAAGATTTCTGGTTGTGAAGACATTATCTGACATGGATATTACTTGTTCCTTTGCAATCACCTTGATATTTTTGCAATGTATAAGTCCAACCTTACCTCTCAAGACTCCAACATACCATTCTTTCACTTTGGAATGCCCAATAGCTTTTACCTTACCCTCTCCAAGAAGAGCTACTGTGTCCCCTTTGAAATATTCAAGTAAGTAGTCAATCTTTTTTTGTCTTAGCACAGTCTTCAGAGTTACCCCAAAGTTGGTGAAGTTCATTTTTTTGTCTTGAAATGTGGGATATTTGACACACACTGTTGGTAACAATGGAGCAGACTTGACTTTCTTCTCTTTCTGCAAATTATCTGGCAGATTGGAGAGTCTTTTTAGATTCGGAGCTGGATCAGGTGTAGTGATAAAGAACTGTGTAAGTGTTCTACCATTGGGAGGCTCCACCTGAACACGGAAAACAAATAAGTGCATTTCTCTGGACTCAACTAAGGAAAATAAAAATTGTTGATTAACTACTTCACCTGCTTGCAACTGCTTTTGTTTAATTTCTTTCCTTTCTCCTTCTGCCTTCACTTCAAAATCAGGATCACATGAAAAAACAGAAATATTTAAATCTTGTGGCTTGTCAAGGAAGAATGAATGCTTCCCCCAAAGCTGAAACACAACCGGAGATGTGTTTTTACCACCCTTCTTAATATCAGAGATTGTAAGCTTTCCTGGCATGTAACTGTGTCCACAAACTGTGAAAATAGCAGTGAAACTGGGATGAATATATCTGGGCCCATAAATTCCAACTGAGGTGGTTTTGTGGATACAATCCCAAATGGTGGCAGCTGGTGACTGGATAGCTTTAATTTGTGCAGCAACCACTAGATACATCACCTGGCTCAAGTCTATTAGCTTGACTTGGATAATGTCTTCATAAATATAGCAGTTGTTTAACACTTTGAAAGGGCCTTCTTTACCCAAGCTGTGTAAACATACCATTTCTGTCATGACTTGGCTGAAAGGATCCTTTCTCACTTCAGCCCCTATTTTCATCTCCAGCAAAATGGCTTCCATTGTTTTAAGGTTGCCTAACATGATTTCCAACAGTGGACTCACGGTGCATGAAAGATCATGGTTAAGCATTTGCGGAGGTTCAAGAAAAGCCCTTAGAGATATCTCTTGGAATTCTCCCACAGTTACATGTCCTTGGGGCACATGGACAGTGATATCTGATTCAGGTAATTGTACTGACCCTCCTTGGTGGCTTAATTTACAAACTATCACGGTCTCTGCAACTTGTGTTTGGGCCCATCCAGGACTCTGATTAATTATATTCAAATCCAGGCAGGAACGAGCCAGCTGGCGTTGACTTAGCCAGGCCATTTTATAAGCCTCTCTATCATTCTGAAGCCATTCTAAGTCTTGTTCTAGTATCTGGCCAGAGTTATGTATATTCTGATGGGCATGTGCTGTGTCATCTAAAATGTCTAAAAGTTCTGAAACACTTTTAGATCTTCCAGCTTTCCGTGGGGAAGACTGCCTAAGCAACTGATGCATATCCAGTTCATCACCAGAGGAATCAAAAGAATTTCCGATTTCTATTTCTCTAAAAAATAGAAAAGGATCTTCCTTCAAGATGGAAATATTGTCTTTCTTCTGGTTATTTCTTAACTGAGTTATATCATCCAAAAATGGGTTAGAAGCAGACAGTTCATTCCAGAATGGATTTGTAGTTTTGGAAGCACTATTGCCATGACATGTGAAAGCATCTGGCCAGTTGAGAAGAAATCCTGGGTCTGGACATTCTAGTTATTTAGACAAAAACAAAGTAAAACAAAGATGAAGTGGCATTCTAAGATACAACCAAGACTAGCTTTTCTTACTGCTTAACAATCCAAGACTCTTTAATTTGCTTTTCGATCTCCAGTGTAATAGCTACTACGAAATTAATGTTCAGTTTGCTCAAAATTCATGTTATGGGAAAAGAATAACTGTCCTGCTAATTTATTTTGACCAGGTTTAATGTTATTTTACTGTAAGTCACTATGATTTAAAAATAGGAGTTCAAAAATTTAGAATTTAGGAGGAACTTAACGGAGGACCGTGGGGGAGAAGAAGTGGGGAAATAGTGGGGGAGAGGAAGAGAGGCAAATCGTGAAAGACTCTTGAATACTGAGAACAAACTGAGGACTGATGGGTGTGGGGGGTGAGGGGGTAGATGGGCATGGAGGAGGGCAATTGTGGGGATGAGCACTGGGTGTTATATGGAAACTAACTTGACAATAAACTATTTGTAAAAAAAAAATTTAGATAGTAATCAGTTGAACACTTTTCCTTGAAATTTACCCAGACTACATACACTTATGCCTTATTGTTTTATGTTTTATTTTCACAAAACAAAACCCCTGAACAAACAGAATAATTTAGTCAACTATCCAAATTTTTTCTAAACGCTGAATAGTCAATCTCAATATATCTAGATTGTTCATTTAATGTTTTTCTTTTCTGATAATATTCCATATGTTAAAAAAATCAAATGCATCTGTTAACAACTAAAGCAATTTTTAAAAAACAATATGCCAAATTAGATAGTAATGCATTTCTTAGGTTATTTCCTGATACCTTTGCACTGGTAAATTTAATAACATTGAAATTTTTTTGAGAAAAAATAAACATTTCATGACAATAAATATTGAAAAATTGATCGCTGTTAGATTTACTATTGGAAGGAATTCATTGTACTTTTCTAAGTTTAAAATGACTGAGAACAGGCTTACCACTACGTAATGAAAACATGTTATTTCTTTGGAGAGTTTAAGAATCACCAGCACATTAAAATATGACCACCATAAGGAATTTCTATATACCTCACAAATACTAAAGTCATTTTTTAATGATTAGAGTAACTAATACTTTGTCATTTATCAGTAAATATTGGTAACAATTCTGTGAACTTAGTGAAACTGGTACTGCTTTCAAGGAAATGAAAGCCAAATTGCCAGCCAAAATTGAAAAATGAATTCAAGTAAATAGTCAGACATTTTTGTTTAATATGTATACACCTATATCTTGATTGAAATGGGTTTTCAGCATCACATATTAAAGATTAGAAGATGCACTTGAAAAATAAAAATTGCACTTCTCTTATTTCCTTGTCGCTTCAACCTGGTTTCATCTCTCTTAAACCTTACTCTTCCTCTGAGGATCAATTCAATTCTTTTCTTTTCCATAAAGATTTCTTAGCCCACACCAATCTCTAGAGATCTCTTTGGCCCCCAAATTCATTATGTGTACTGCAAATATCATTCACTTAATAATGAATTCTTGCCTTCTCATAAGATTTATAGTATCTGTTGCCTGTGCTATTTTGTTTTGCTCCTTTTCAATGATAGTGTATTTCTATGATCATTTTATAATTTAATTTTTTGTAGCTCTTTTCAGAAGTAGCCCTCCAATAGTTATTGGTAATGGGTAAAATAATTGAGTTATAAATTCTTGTACCTGTAATATGGAAACTTCTTGAAGATTTTTGGTCTTCCATTTTAAACAAATTTCCGTCAGACTTACTGCGTGAAATTCCTCCTGACCAAAAATGGGCCCTTTCATTGGTTAACATTTTTCCACCTACAAAATAAATAAATAAACAAATAATAAATAAATAAATAAAATTTTATAAGCATACATACACAAGTTGGCAGAGAAAGTAAACAAAGTATTCACACATCCTTAAATAGAAAACTGCATATAACAATACTCTACATAGGTCCTCTATTTCTAGTAGGATGCTAGATAGATATTCTGAAATATGTTTTAGCACTTCACTGAAAAATGCTCAGATTCTAAACTAAAATGTATTAGTGATCCCATAAAAAATGTAATTAATGAAAACCCCAAGAACAAGAAAATATGAATAGTAAGTTGAAACTTCAATAAATAGGAAATCCCTGTTTGGTGATTGGAACACAAAGATTCACAAAACTGGAAAGTCTCCACTGAGTTCTATACATTCAGTGCAGTTCCAAGAGAAATCACAACACTTTATGTATGTGTTTGTAATTTCTTAAACTTTTTAAAAATTTCTATAGAAAGGCAAAAGGCTAATATTCAAGACAATCCCGAAAAAGAACAGAATGGAAATGAAATGTTCCACCAGATACTAGCATTTATTATCAATATGTGCTAAGTGAGACAATGTGAAACTGGAACAGAAATAAAATAAGGACACACAATAACCCTAGAAACAGACCCATTCCCACACAAAAACTTGATATATGACAGAAGTGGCCTGTTGTTGTAGGAAAACCTTGAATATTTACTTCAGAACAGATATACATGAATGTTCATTATATTAACAAAAATCTGGAATTACCCAATTATCTTTTGCCATATGAATAGATAAATCAATATGGTGTTTTAATTAATTGAAGTACCGTGCAACTATGAAAACAGGCAAATTACAATAAAAAGCGTCAGTATGTTCTAACTGGAAGCATCCCATTGCTGTGACTCACTCTTCCTCATATATACGTTATCTCTTTGTCCCATGGCAACACTGAAAAATAGATATCTTCAGTAAGATTTTAGAGTACAAAAATGAATCTCAGCAACAGAACATAATGAACTTACAAGGTCAAACAACTGGCAACTGACCGACCCAAACATAATTCCTCATTCACATTACTGCCACTCCATAAACCCTGTGACCCAGGATGCATACGCCCCTTCTCAGACTTGAGGCTACCAATACTACATTCTCAGACTATCCTACCTTCTAATTCAAACTGCAAGTCATGCTAAACTTTTACTTCTTGTTCTTTCTCCTTTAGGCATTAACCGTATCTCCTTTACCTTTAACTGTTTGTCATACCCTCTTTTCAAGTTCCTGACATTTTATTTCAAAGAAACTTTTTCTATTTTTTAAAGGAATCAAAAGTCTTTTCTGGTGTCAAGAAAATAATGAGCAAAAGTAAATGAGAGAAGAGGAAAGGGGAAAAATGAAAGGAAAGAAGGGGGAAAACATGTTTTCCAAACATAATGGATAAACAAATGCAAAAGTTATTTCATAATATGGCATACTTTAAAAATTCAAACAGTAAAATAACAAGTTTTTCCTCTGATAGACAAAACCACATGGAAAGTTGGGGTGAAAAGCCAAATGGTGCAATATGCAATTTATACTGAAGCCTTAAGTTTCCTGGCAGATCTTCAAAATTCTCTGTTGATTTTACCACATATAGTGTCAAAAACTAAAGCCCTTGGCACATTCTAGGTAGCCAAAACTTTAGAATAAAAAATGAAGTACACATCTGTGAACAAAATTAAGCAAATCAAATTAAAATGAGAAAAATGCTTACATGAAAAAGTGTTTTTTAAAAAGAAAAAGTACATTATAAATGGAAAATCAATTTAGACAGAAAGCTCCCTAAACTGCTTAATTTCTTGTGGAGGAAAGAGTAGAAAGGAACAATTAATATCCAGGGTTCCTTTGAGGCTAACAACCCTTAGTGTGAAAAATAGTTAATAACCTAGTGAAATGTAGTTATAAGTCCTCAACAACATAAGAATCAGAATGGTGACTTATGCACCTACGTTCTGGAGGATCATAATATTCTAGAAACAAACGCACAAGGTGATCATTAGCTGGAATTCTTGGTGGGGTAGCCTTCTTCTCCAAATATCCAAGTAGATCTTCACTGTCCTTTAAGCCTGTGGTTCTAAACCTCAGTGGGACCAGAGTCACCTGGAAGGTTTGATCACAGTTTGCGAGACCCACCTTGTATTTCTGACCCAGGAGGTCTGGGGCTGCACCTGAGAACTCACATTTCTAACAAAGTGGCCAAGTGATGTGATGCTGTGGCTCTGGGTTGGGGAGAGGGGTACATTTTGAGAACCACATTCTAAAAACCACCATGTTAAGTTCTTTCCCTACCAAATTAATAGATTCCTCCTTTTTTCTCTGGCTATTCCCACTATCCTCCAACAAATCCTCCTTCTCTCAATCTTTTTGTTTGTGCGCGTGCGTGCACACACACACACACACACACACACACACACACAGTCTCACAGGACTTCATCCTGACTATGAATTTGTTCTACGAATACAGGAAAAGGCTTTGACTAAAAGGACCATGATGGTGACCTAAAAGGACCATTAAAGTGACCTATTGAGGGGCGCCTGGGTGGCTTAGTTGGTTAAGCGTCCGACTTTCACTTAGGTCATGATCTCACGGTCCGTGGGTTCGAGCCCGGCGTCGGGCTCTGTGCTGACTGCCAGCTCAGAGACTGGAGCCTGTTTCAGTCTGTGACTCCCTCTCTCTCTGACCCTCCCCTGTTCACGCTGTCTCTCTCTCTCTTTCCTAGAAATAAATAAAACATTTAAAAAAAAAAAGTGACCTATTGAGGGCAGTGCTTGTTTACACAGGTGCAAATAGCACCGGCCAAATTTATCATTCCCCTGTGTTTTCCTGCAATTAAATGTCATACCCAATGGCAATTGCTTTAAGAGGGGATTTTTAAAATTTTGTCTAAAGAAGCATGAGTCAATTTTGGTTAGAATGAGTAAGTGGGAAAAGAACAGTCTACTACTCACTTAATTGGGGACACATTCTTGTCAACCATGCCTTGTACAACACACTTACTCTGATTTACATTATCCACTATTTTTTTTTCTTAAGAAACCAATGAACAAAGTCTGCTTTTCGTGTATTTTACTATTTAAACTAGGCCTTAAGCACCTGGGAATATTTACCAACTGTACAACCTAGCAAAAGATCCCAGAAAATTTTGGGGGGCAGAGAGGAATATTTGCAAAAGAGTGGCCAGGGAAGCAATATTATTTAAAGAAATTGTTCTTTTATTTTTTTAATGTTTATTTATTTTTGAGAGAGAAAGAGAGTGTGTGCATGTGCAGGGGTGGGGCAGAGAGAGAGGGAGAGAGAGAATCCTAGGCACTGTCAGGGCAAAGCCTGAGGTAGAGCTCAATCCTACGAACTGTGAGATCATGACCTGAACAGAAATAGAGTTGATGTTTAACTGATTGAGCCACCCAAGTGCCCCTAAAAGAGTTATTTCTTTAAAATGTGTTCCTTTGTTGGGTTAAACAGGTGATGGGGATTCGGGAATGCCCTTGTTATGATGTGTACAGGCTAGAATTGTCTAATCACTATACTGTACACCTGGAACTACTATAATATTTTCTTAAAAATATGAAATTATGCTTAAACCAAAATAAAATAAAATATGTTTCTGTGAAGTGTTTATGGTAGCTGTTATACAGTGAAAATTGCTACTTGTAGCCACTTAGTAGGTTCAAAGTATTTTCCAACTAGTCTTTGAACACCTCTGGTACCCTTTACACATTTCCATGTTTTGTACTGTATTTAACTCTTGGCCTATGTGGTATTAAAAATATTTTCACGGGCACCTGGGTTGCTCAGTTGGTTGAGCATCTGACTTTAGCTCAGGTCATGATCTCACAGTTCGTGAGTTCGAGCCCCACTTCAGCCTCTGTGCTGACATCTCAGACCCTGGAATCTGTTTCAGATTCCGTGTCTCCCTCTCTCTCTGTCTTTCATTGGCTTGACCTATGTCTTTCTCAAAAATAAAATACACATTAAATTTTTAAAAATTATTTTCACATAGGCTATAACTCTTACAGTTGACAGCAAATGCTAAAATATCAGGAGGGCAACTGTTGGACCAGTGGACTTCTTCACCTGTCCCCCAACAAATGCCAAACCTACCAGAACAACTTTGCATTTCCTTATAAATATAGCTGGTATAAAAAGTCTGAGTGGGTCAAAAAAGAACCATAGTCAGCAGATGACACTTACCTGGTGTAATTTTACTTAATGTTACCATAGTGTGTGTGGCTTTCTCAAAGCACCTTCTCAGTGGCTAGTAGCATTTTCTGACTGGCAGTGTATATACCCTATAAACCAATAATTAATTAGTTTGCTATCTCTAGTTATTATGATCAAAGATTTAAAAATCCTGATAGCAACATTTTCTCCCAAGGAAAATGGTTTTGCAAGATTCTTCAGGGTAGGCAGCAGGGACTCTGATATATTAGGCAGTATTAATAATGCAAATAATTTCTATGATGCCTCCAATCTTGGTGACTCAAAATATCCCATCTTGTTAATATTACCATATCAAGATGTGTATCACTTCCTTTATATCTTATTACTCTTCAATCAACGGCAGAACTGAAGTTCAGGAAAGTTATGATAATTGTTCAGGATAACATTATATTAGTGAGCACAAAACAGGAACAGAGAAGCAGTTGATTGGCACTTGTTCTATGTTCAGTTTAATTATATAGCTGAGGAACCTTTGCAGAAACCTCATTCTGGAAGGGAAAATGTAAAGGACTTTAAACAGATACACAAAAGGAATATTTCAGGACTGTAAACTAATAATAAAATTTTGCCATCATCAGAGCGATTATTTATTGAGAGCTTGCCATAATCCTGGTATGATGCATAGATTTTTCTCATTTATGAAGTGTAATGATTCTAGAAAGTTGGTACTTTCACTATTGCCGTTTTAAAGGTAGAGAAATAGAGGGGCACCTGGGTGTCAGTCAGTTAAGCATCAGACTTCAGTTCAAGTCAT